AACAAAGATGAGGGTAAGATGTGGAGGGGGCATGCAGAGGTCTTCATAGAGTTAACTAGTTTGGTTAACTCAGGCAAAGAAACAGGAGCAAAGCTATCTAGGATGATGGGCCTGGTTGGAGTCGGGAGAGGTAGCGATAAGGCTGAAGGAGAGATGCTAGATCTAACCTAATTGACTTTGTCCACAAAGAAAGACAGAAAGTTCTCACAGTCTGTAACAGAGTGGATGGAGGCTGTAGGAGAGGCAGGAGACACGATGCTGCTGATGGTGTTAAACAGCACCTTGGGGTTCCCTTTGCTCTGGGACACCAGGTTGGAGAAATAGGAAACCCTAGTGTCTCTGACTGCAGAGTTAAAGGATGTCAGAAGATCCTTTAGGTGCAGCAGATGGACGTGGAGATGGGTTTTCTTCCAGAAACACTCAATTTTTCTGCATTGGCGCTTCAGGCTGTGTAGGCTGTCATTAAACCAGGGAGTAGGGTTCACTGCAGGAACTGATCAGGTTTTGACAGGACAGATGTTGTCCAGAATGGAGAGGCAGTGCTCGATGAACTGAGAAGTTAAGGAATCTGGGTCGTTATCAGAAGAACAGGGTGGATCAAAAGCAGCAAAAAAATTGCTAGCTGTGCTCTCATTAAGAAAACGAGAACTAACCATACGGCGAGCAGGAGGTGGGGACGCAGAAACTGACAAGTTAAAGAAAATGCAATGGTGATCTGAAATATAAATGTCCTCAGGACAAACACTGTCAGCATTTAGACTCAGGGTAAAAACAAGGTCTAGACTCTAGAGTGTGCCCCCTGGTGTGTGTGGGGCCAGAAACATGCTGGGTAAAGCTGAAGGAGTCCATAAGGCTGGAGAAATTCATGGCAAAGTGATCTGAGGGATCATCAACGTGGATGTTAAAGTCACCAACAATCACCAGTCTGGACAGCTTCACAGTGGAGGATAGAAAGTCACTAAATTCCTAAAGGAAAGAACTGTTTGGACCAGGTGGACGATAAACCACAGCACAGTAGAACGGGTCCTTACGCCCGACTTTAATCAGCTGCAGTTCAAAGGAAGCAAAGTGACCAGAGGTTGTAGAGCTAAATGGAAGATGGTCTCTGAAAACAACAGCTAGGACTCCACCATGACCAGAACCCCAAGGCTGGCTAAGAAAAGAATAACCACTCAGGCAGAGTTCAATCAGACCAGAATAATCAAATGTTTGCTGCCAAACTTCAGTCAGAAACAGAAAATCCAGGTTTTTAGAGAGAATTAGATCATTGAGCAGGAAGGACTTATTGTTAACAGAGCAGCTATTTAATAGAGTCATGCTGAGTGAGGAGGAGGAATCAGAAACTACAGAAACAGCTGGAGTTAGTGGACGTAAATTAGCAGGGTTAGATCCACGGTGTTTATAAAAACCACTTATGGAGGGAACAGGAGGAGAAACCACTGAGGAATGAGGATAAACCGACCTTAAAAAACTTGGGCGGATGAACCGCGCCGCAACGAGGCCTGGCGGGAATGCAGAAGTGGCGCTCAGGTCACCAAACAAAGGAAGAGAAGCTACAAGATCAAGCCGATGTTTACTAGATAAACCACGCTTTAAAAGGAGTCTTACCTGGATTCCTGCTCGTTTACCTCTTTTCCTCCGGACAAACATCACTGGAGGCACGCAGCTCGGGACCGTCGTTTGGCTCCGGGCCAGTGCGCCACTCAGGTAAACAAACAGGACGGTACGTCCTCAGTGCATCTTGGGCGATCGTGAACGAACAGAAGGACAAAAGAGTCTGGCGATCATAGGAGATGGCAGCAGAGACACTACTGAAGAGGATCGCAGACAGGAGCAAGGTGGAAAAGAAGAGGTTAGTGGAGAAAAGCACAGGCGCCATCTTGTTGCCGACCGGAAGCGGAGGAGAAAAGTTTATTTATGTTATTAACAGTTTATTACTTTAATATTTTAGATTATTTTAAATTATCCAGCAGGGTTTGGATGATAAATAACTCGTAAGTTATGTGTTGAGTCAATAAAAAGAACAAAACAGCTTTTATTTTAATGAACTGTGAATTGGAATGTTTATTATGTGAAGTGCCTTGAGACGACTCTTGTCGTGATTTGGCGCTATATAAATAAACTTGAATTGAATTGAATTTATTGTGGAGTTTTCTTCAGTTGTTTCACTTGAGCTGATTGATGGAGATATCGGCTCACGTTGCTATGGTAACGCTGTCATCAACTCCACTGACCTGAGGAAATGGATCAACTGATTTCATCACGTTTTAAGTTAGGGTTAGCTCTGTGTTACCCAGTATTTACACTAACTTAAGCCTCATCAGTTTGTTATTATTGAACTTCTTAGAACAGGATGTTACAAAATGAATGCTGGTTTTACTCTGTATTTCCTAGAAGCATCAAATTGTTTGGTTCTTTCTGAGAAAAATACAAAAAAATTTGGTCTTCGGGACCAGAGCCAACTTAAAGTAGCTTTAAAAGCCCTCATTTCTCAGTAGCATAATGCGAGTCTGTCTTTGGGTGGGAGGCGGAGACACCCTGGACATGTCTCCATCCATTACAGGGACACATAACCAGTCACACACTCACTCACACCTAAGTGTAATTTTGATTCTACAAGAAATCTAACATACATGTTTTTGGTATGTGGAGAGAAGCATGCAAGGGGGCATCATGCACCAAGAAAGGTCACAGCAAGGATTTGAACCTGCAACCTTGTTTTAAACATTTACCAGCTGCATGGTGGCACAGTTGGTAGAGCTATTGACCTGAAGCAAGAGGGTTGCAGGTGTGAGGTGTCCACTCTGCTCCTCCACATGGAGGCACAACTTTACAATAGAATATTTTTGATGTAGAAGATTCTTGTTTGCAGATACTGAGAGGAATGTATTCCTATGGTTCATGGCTGGGGTGCACAAAAAAGGATGGTGGACGGCAGGTGAAAATGGTAAATGGCCTGGATTTGTATAGCACCTTCATAGGGTTCTACAACCCCCCAAGGTGCTTCACACACTGGTGGAGTGGGCTACAATGTAGCCACAGCTGCCCTGGGACACACTGACAGAAGTGAGACTGCCAAGCTGGCGCCACTGATCTCTCCAACCGCCATCAACAGGCAAGGCGGGTTAAGTGTCTTGCCCAAGCACACAACAACAGCATGGTTAAAGCTGGGATCAAACCTGCAACCTGCTATACCTCCTGAGCTACTGCTGTCCCCTGGTGATTCTGTCAAACAGTTTGATTGCTTTACTTTTTATTTATTTTCTCACAAACTTGCAAACATGCAGCATCAGTTCAGCAACATCTGTAAACAATATTTGACATTCTGTCAAAAGTTCTAATCGACTGATATGTTGGCTAATTCATTTTACTGCAGAAAAAGCGGGCATCCCTATGCTACTTTTGATGTTTTCCTCCTTATGTTAGTTTTAGGTTATTATCATAACTGTAACAATGGAATTTGAGTGCCCTCTAACGGTAAAAGTTAAACATTACAAAGGGCGTCTTTTTTATTTTGTCATCTATTATAAAAAAAAAGGATGTTCAAGGATTTAGACTTACAGACAGAATTGGGTGATAAATGTAGTTATTATTAAGCAATTAATTAATATGCCTAGCTAAACTAATGTTAGTATATTTATGGATGTGCAGTTAGTGTCATTTGGGATGCAAATAATTAGTTAACCTGAAAAATGTTTGCTATTTTAACATTTTTTTGATTAATCTGAAATGACTTTGCTTGCATTTGTGTGCGTGTGTGTGTGTGTGTGCGCGCGCGCATGTGTGTGCATTTCTTGTCCATTTAAAAATTACGTAATCGCAGCCTATTCGTTCAAAGCATACTTATCTGATAGGCCCACTTCCTGCTTGTCACCAGCTTTTAAAACTTTCCAGAAAAAATAAATGTGTAAATGTAAATATTACATACTGAAGGAAGTTTTATCTTTAAAAAAAAAAGCTTTTCAGACACTTGAACGGCAAACATGTTTTGAGGAACTGTAAAATATTCTAAATTAGCATTTGCATCGTGCTGCAGTTAGTTAGGAGCGCTAGCAGGCAAATAAAAAAAACGTTTTGCATCTTTTAGACTGGAAAATACTGGTGGCACTGGCAGCAACAATACTCAGGACGCACTTGTGTGAATAAAGCAGAAACAGGCGCGCAGGGCTGACTGGTGTAGTGTTAGGTGAACTCTCAGATATATACGACTCTATTTTAATCCCGTCGTTCCATTGGCCGACTCACCTTTGACCCCTCCCTTCGCGCTGCAGCTCTCTGGGCGGATGATGACGCGCTCAAACACAAACTGTGGAAGTTTAAGCTGTGATGCAACTCAGAACTCTGCAGTCACAAATTAAATCAACAGTTGATTTTTCTTTTTTCCCGTCCAAATCATATGTCAGGATTTTCATGAACTGTCTCTGGAACCCCTAAATAGATATATTTGAAGTTCCAAATGTAGACACACCTAAAGTGTAACTGTTGTTGGCTGTTTGACTCTGGATGTTAAAATACATACATGAATACATTTTGGTCTAATTGTTGCATAGAATTATAATAGTAGGCCTATTAAATAAATAAATGAACAGTTAGGTTTTCTTCTCGATCTTTTAAATTAGCTCTGTATAAGTATTTCATATCTTTATTATGGGGTTCACACACAGTCCAGGTTTTGACTTTCAGAATAAAAGCCCTGAGAGACTGACCCTAATTGTTGATGAGTGAAGACACGTAAACAGATATATATTTAACATTGAGATCATTATATGAGGCTGTATTTATCTTTTTGTCGCAGTTTTTGTTCAAAAATAAGTTTGAGTTAAATACCCCTATTTAACATGATCCGGTACAGACCCACATTTGGAAGCCATTGTTTTAACCTGAGAGATAATATTTAACTCTGTTATCACGTGGGTCAGATGTTGACAAGTTAAAATAATCCAAACGTTACTAAAATATCTCTGTTCTAGGTTCAATAAGCCGTATTTCAGCTGAATTTTCCTTTAGACAGTTAAACGTTTTGCAAGGAGGCTCCTCAAGGTCCCATAGTCCCTTGGTTGCGAACATGCGTGCCTGCTGACAAACAGTAGACGGGGATCAGGATCATCCGTGCTGCGCGCATTCTGGGATGTTGGAGCGCCATATTGCACCTGGCTGAACAGGATAAGTCTGCGGCTGGCCTCCTCGGACCACCGTTAACGTCTCAAAAGCAACAGCTCCGGTAAGACTTCAGCTTCAAAAGCTTTCTGTAGAACCCCAAAACAGAGATAAGCTTGAAGCTCCGCGAGAAAACAGTCGCACATTTTCCTCCCCGCGCACTTCTCTGGGCTCACAAAGGAGGAAAATCTCCCAACAGGTGTCAGTGGGATTAGGATGTTGGTTATAAAGCTGCTGCACAATAGAAGCAACCCCACCATTCAAGTTAATCACTTTGGAATAGAATGTGGTCTTATTTCTGTAAAAATAGGTTGAAACGGTGGAAATTCGTGTTTTACTATAAGAGTTTTCCTCTTTCTGTGTGGGTGTGGACTAAATTTGGACTAAAGGAAATAGTTTCAACTATTAATCCTCGTTTTGTTGCGTGTACATTCACTTTAAATGCTACAGATAATGCTTTATGTTCTAATGCATTGTTTTCCCCTTTAAACGACTTTGACGATTCAAGCGATTCATTGTGGCGATTAATCGCCACAATGAAAGAAAATTAAAATGTACACTGAGGTGTGGGGTTGTTAGTAATCAAACGCGTCATTATTTGAAGTTAAAATAGTGACGGGCGGAGACTGTATTTTATTTGAAAGAAACTGTGGGTGAGGCAAATTAGATAATTTACCCTGCATGTGCGTTGCGTTTAACTAAGTAAAGAAGGTTTCAAGCAAAAAACGCAACTTTCTTTTGTGTATTTCAAAATAAAATCCCAAACTTGCCTAAAAAGTCTTTGTCATCTAGTATTCAAGTTACCAAGTAAGGTCTCTCAATTACTATTTGGATTTGATAAATTAAGTTCGTTAAAATGTATACCAAGTTACTAGTTCTTTAAAAATTTCCTGAATTCATACTCTTAACTATTACCGCTCTCTTATTTTGAAGGCAACAGTAAGTATTTCCTGTTTATTGCTTTGCTAGCTTCACTAGCATGCTGTTTCACACTGATGACTGTCGCCTACAGGAGTGTCGCTCTGCCCTCAGCTGGGTTTAAGTAACGCAGAAGTGGCTGAAACTCGTTTCTCTTCTTTTCTCTCGTTTCAGTAAGGCGCAGTGAGAACCCGGAGCAAAAGTTTATTATTTTTTTCTAAAACACCTCCTGTTGCCGGGAATCGGACAGCAAAATGCCCAAAGCGGTAAGTGACCTTTTGTTTTTAATTTGTATTTTAGTCCCGTGTTTGGTAAATCACTGCTAGAGGTGATGGAAAAACTAAGACAACAATACAAGTGACCACATAGCTGTGTTAAAGATTTATTTTACGTTTAGAAGATAAAATTAAATGGATTAATTAATTTAAAAAAAAAGCACAGTCAATGCTAATTAGCATGACACAACTTTAAACCATTATAGAATTATGGCCTGAATTAGATTTTGTGTGGTCATAAATTACATTTGGGTTTGCTTTTAAGATATTTGATATAATTTGACAGTAAATCTATGAGAAAAAGAATAATTTGGAGGATAACATGTGTTAATTTTCATGTAAATGTATAAAATTTGTGTATTAATACAAAGATGATCAAATCACTTGATTATTTAGGGGTTTCCTACATGCAAACAGCCACTTTGCTTTTATATTTCAAACCGAACAGTGAAATATATCTGTATTGATAAATGATTAGGTGGATTCGGGTACAGCTTATTTTCATTTAAATCTCTAAACCAGCTGCTGTAAACCATCATAAACCACATCTGTTGAATTTTCACACCTGAAATGTGTATTTACTCTTATTGATACATCAGTGTGCATAGATGCAGTTTTACGACGTTGCTTTATATTTTATGAACAGGTTTTCTTCTTGAATTCCTCCTGACTCACTTTGCCACACCCCAGCTAGTGCATAGTGTTCAGCTATACTCATCCCTCCCTACGCTCACTGCTTGGAAATTCCTGGTTGGACACCTGCCTTTTATTTTACTCAGATTGTATTAAAGACATTTTCCATTATGGGCAGGTCTAAACTACTTTTAATCTATCTGAAAGTTAAAAAAAGAAAGTTTAAACATTGTTAAAATGTACAGAAATGATATGACATGATTTATTTTCTGGAGATAAGAGCAGTTTTGTGATTAAAATGACCAAAGCATCTGTGTCATAAAGTTTGTTGTTGATTTGCTAAGGAAAAGCCTCGGGGTTGTCATGAGCGTTTGTGGATGTGACATCTTCTGAAAGGAGCTGCTACTGTTGCCACAAAACAGTCTTTTTGGACAGTAAATATCAAACCAGACAGTCAAACTTTCCATGAGACCAAGAAGAGCTGAAGATCTGGTGTTGAAAGTTCCTCTTTGTTCTGATTGAACTTGTGGCTGCAAATACAGCACACCGTGGGATACGAATGCAACACTGAGTTTATTTTAATGAAAATTTCCTTTGATTATAACCAAAGAGCTTCAATACTCAGTCTATAAGCTCTGCCACTGGTAAGATAAGTGAATAAGAGATTATATGTTTGACATCTGTGGAAAACTGTAAAAGTACATTACCATTTAGGAAAATGGGACTAAAGCCAATTTAAGATAGAAAACTGAGGATAGGGTGGTTCAAAGTGGCTTCTATTTGCTGTGTGTTGCCAACATCTTGTCAAATTTCATATTCAACCAGTATTATGCTGAATATTTTCTGCTTGATCTCAAGGTTTCTTTAAAACAAACTTCTTTCTTTTCTAGCAATTTTAATGCATTTATTTGACTTATTGGATTATTTGATTTTACAGGATTACAGCCCTCCTATAAACAGATAATTTTCTTCAGAATAAAAGCCTTTAGTTTCAAAGTAAAAAATTTAGATTAAGCGCTGGTATGCAGCTGGTTTTGGTTTTAACCCTGCTTCAACACACCTGATTTCAATTAAGTGACCAACAGGCTTCTGCAGAGCCTGATGAGCTGCTGCAGGTGATCCAACCACTGAAGTGTGTTGGACCTGAGAAACCACTAAAACATTCTTGATACCGGCCCTCGAGGCCTGGAATTGAATAGTCCTGCCCTAAGTGAAAAGAGCTTGTAGCAAGAGTAGTGTGCGAGTACGACTCCTGCATCGATCCATCTGATTCACGTTGCTCTCGTGACACATAGTTAAACGTTAACTTTGGCGCTCCCTGGCTCTCCCAGAGTCCAGTGTCCCTGTGGTCAGAGTGGTGACACAAACCACACAAGGTGTGGTCGCCATCAGTGTGAATGGGTCTTTCCATATTATGGCCTGACTTTTAAATAAATTCTAGGTGTGGTGTGTGTAATTCTCTAGAAAGAATTTAAGAGTAAAATTTGTTTCACTTGAACTTATTTTAGATTAGTTCTCTCCCAAATGCCCACAAAGCTCACTGTCATTTAAGCTCAAATCTCTCTCGCCCGTTTCAGTACAATCCCCATGGCAACGCCCATTGTTTCATGTTTTTTTTTAAAGCATGCAAACTATGCGGAGAGTTAAACATTGAATGGCGTTTGCTGAAGAATGCAGGGTGGGTTATTCATTCTAGCCACAGAACTGGTGACCAATTTTGTTTCTGTAACTTGACTCATAGCAACTTTTCCATCTGGGGGAATGAGGTTTCCGTTTGTCCCAAACTGGGAGTCCGAATGTTTCAGCGACTGAAACTTAGGAATGACATTCTTGAGGACTGGCTTCATTGATTAATTGATCAGATACTTTGTACATTATAGGTCCTTCAGGTGTAAGTGAAGTAGAAATTTAAAATGATGCTTTACAAAAATGAAGTTACATCATCTTGCAACTGATGTGATTTGTCTTTAAGAATTAAACTGTTTTGGAAAATAAGCATCAGATTGGGATATCATTGTAAAATTACAAATAGTTTCTGATTTAAAGGTGCATTATGTAGAAATTGAGAAAAAAGGACATAAGTAGCAGCTATGCTGGGGCAGAGAAGACTCTGTGATGATGTCATATTTGTGAAGTGTCGACGTTTAATTTGTAGTCATGGGAATAGCGAAATTTTACAAGCTGATAAATTAAGTACGTGACAGGCGTGGTTGAAACACATAGTTAATTTTGTGCGATCCAGGGCATAAGGAAAAGCAGATTATAAAATGTTTCCTTTAGCCCCGTTGACTTGCATTCATTTTTTTTTTCCTGGGACCCATGAGTTGACGGGAAGGGGAACAGACTTATCCCTTCTGCACACGGAAGCATCAGCGGCTTGGAACAGCAGATTCTTGCCAATAATGGATGATGGTGGCAAAGGAGTTAAGTGCTCGCCCTATAATCGGAAAGTTGCAGGTTCGAGCCCTGCTCAGTTTGTCGCTGTCATTGTGTCCTTGGGCAAGACACTTGACTCCCCTTGCCTGCTGTTGGTGGTCGGAGGGACCGGTGGCGCCTGTGCTCAGCAGCCTCGCTTCTGTCAGTGCGCCCCAGGGCAGCTGTGGCTATATCGTAGCTCATTTCCACCAGCGTGTGAATGTGTGTGTGGGTGAATGGCTGATTTTATGGTCAAGTGCCTTGGTGGGTTCCAGGACTCTAGAAGATGCTATATCAAATTAATGGTCATTTACCATTTACCAATATACACCCCAACTGGATCTCATCAGATTCTGAGTACCAGATGATTTTTTTGGTGCATCTCCAAGTTAAAAAGTGGGCAAACTTGAAAATTGTCACATTTTCTCTATGAACAATTAAGTTGTGAAATTCTCTAAAAAAACATCTTATCAGGCCGTTTTTGTTCAACTCAGGAGGTATAGCGGGTTTCCAGTAATTGGAGGGTTGTAGGACCAATCCCGGCTCCCGGCAGAGAATGCTGCTGTTGTGTATTTGGGCAAGACACTTGTGGCACCGGTGTTTGGCAGCTCTGCTTCTGTCAGTGTGCGCCAGGGCAGCTGTGGCTACATTGTAGCTCATCACCAGCGTGAGTGTGTGCATGAATAGGTGAATGAGTGTGTTGTGAAGGGCCTTTGGAGTTGTAGAACCCTAGACGGCGCTATAGTAATGCAGGCCATTTACCAAACATGCATTTGGGATTATTTCAAAGGTGTAATTGGAGCCCACAAACCATTAAACAGCTGAATGGAGGAACATTTTATTTTCAATTCTGCACCAGCAGAAGCTTATCTTTTCCAAATCTTCAGTATTAGACTTCATAAAACTGAAGGGTATTTCACTGAGGACAAACAGAAACTAAAACAAAAAGTGAAACTCCAACACAAGGTGTCAAAGCAGCTTGTAAATCTTAATAACCCAGATAAAACACCATGAATTGGCTTGTCATGGGAACAATAATGCACACAGTGGGAGGTATTTTGGCTAAAAAATGTTAGTCAGTTGGAGAAATCCTGTCATATCTTTGGTCTCTGACTGTTATGATTTTAACAACACTGATCACCTACGGAACATTGACCATTGTATCAATACATTTAAAAACATCTTAATTATTAGGATTTTAGCTATGCAATACAATTACCGTATGCATTTTAGGTGCTCCGTCTAACAGCGAGTTGTTCTTTGTCTTGTATTACATTGTGTGTGTGTGTGTGTTTCTTGGTTACCTGTAAGTTGGTATGGCAGCCTGTATTTGTGTGTTTCTGTAGCTAAAAGGACAGAGGTTTTTACCATAATGACTGATAAATCCCGTTCTTTCTGATGCAAGCTGCACATTATGGAACACTGGGTCTTTTCCCAGTGTATTTATAGGAAATGTGTCATGTTTTCTTTGCAACAGTGAATGGCCCCAGTCTGCTGTGTTACCGTTTGAGAGCCTGGTCTCGGATCAGATATCACTCTCACAGTGGTTTCTGTTGGCTTGTCTGAGTCACACATTCATATGTTCCACCCTGGCTTGGGTGTGTGTTTGCTCTCCATCTCTAAGAGTTATTCAATGAAGTTGGAGAAAACATCACAAGCAGCTCTAGCTTCTAAAACTATAAAGGAAATCACAAAATAAAACACATAGAAAGTGTTTAATATGTAGTTTTGTGGGGTAGGCTTTTTTACTCTTGACTATTGTAGTAGGAAGGACCTGTAGGGCACTACGGCTGAAAGGGAATCTTTGTTTTCCTCTGTTGAGCTAATGTAGACCCCTTCCACCCACCTTTCACTGCTTTTAGCTTTTACTAGAAGGCTTAATTGAGTAACTGACTCTTAAATTTCTTCTTAAACATGTGTGCCAAATACCTGTTGCTTTTAAATCTTTGTTTCTGCTAAGTGAGGGCAGAAGATGCATAGTAAAGGAGATGGGGCATTTCACATATCCTCCATCTGTACTGACACCAGTGTTTTTATCCTGTGCTGCAATAGAATTTTGCCATTTTTGCAGGATCTCTTACCTTTGGTTGAATGCTCAATCTCTGTAGATTTATTGGAACTAGTTGCTTTGAGTCACCAGACCAAGGGATCCCTGTTCCTGTGGGCGTCGTTGAATGCATTCAGCTCACAATAGACTGGAGATGAAAGATGTCAACTCTCTGTCCACTCCCCTTTTTGTTTCATTTTCACTCCGCCTTAATAAGCTCAATGAATACCCCCCCCCACAAATGCCACAAATATTTGACATTATACCCACAAAAACCACATTCAGTGTTTTGAATTGCTTCAAGTTGGCCATTGTTAATATTTGTGTATCATTTCTGGTCATTTTTTTAAAAACCTGATGTCGTTGATTACTAACTAAACCAAGCCTGATTATTGTTTCTCCATTATGGGACATAATTGATTGAATTTATTTCTTTTGTATAGCCAGGCGTTGTGTTTGCCTTGATTTTGAAGTGAACGTTACTCACTTAGGTGGGGTTAAGGTGGAGGATAACTATTTTTCTCAGTATGTTTCAGTTTGACAGACATCCTCTTTTTACATCCAGGTTTCTGTGATCAGTCATTAACCAAAGGTCTAGGAGGCATGTTGTAGCTCTATAAATCTGACTAGACTTACCAACGCTCTTAACAGAAACACTGTTTTTTACAGTAGTTGGACCTCCTTGTTTTGTATTTTGTGAAATAGTTTTACTTCATTATTTTGATTGGAAGATATTCTAATATCCCAGATTCACTTCAGGTCAGTGAGCCAGTTTGTCTCTGAGAAAGTTTACTCTACAAATACACCCCCTTACCAAACACACACTCAAACCATCGTCATACATATATGGACAATGGGTTTCCATAGGCTCCAATAATACGTTTTTGTACTAAAATGGGAGGTGGCCACCACCACCATTTTGACCGTGTCACAGGTTCCGTCAAGCCCAGACAACTCCACAAAGGGGAAGAGAGGTGAAGCTGAGGGTGGGGCTGTAAGGCTGGGATCAACTGACGACACCCGGTCGAACTAGCTATAAGCTAACCTGAAGCTAACCCAAAGCTAATGCGGAGGTGGGAGCTAAGCTAACGAAGGTAGCAACCTAGCTACAACTGGAGATAACTGTGCACAACACCAGAGCTTCTGAGTCAGAGATACGCCGGGCTGACCGCTGGGTAAAACCGGGTGGAACACAGAGGTCTCCGAGACCTCCACAAGCCGGCAGCCGCACAGCAGACAAGCGCTGCTGCGATCTGAGATGCGCAGAGCTGCCGCTGGGTAGAACCGGGTGGAAAGGTTTCCATCCCAGAGCTCCACAAGCCGTCAGCCCGCGCAGCACACAGAAGCCACGATCAGACAGATGCGCCGAGCTGCGGGGAGGCGAGAACTGGTGGAAAACATCGGTCTCCCGAGAGCTCCACAAGCCGATAGTCAGAACCCAGCTCCACCAACATGTTATATTTCAACCCATTTTCTAAAGTGCAGCATTATGTTAAATGCACTGGGTTTTACCCTATTACATTTAAATTTCATGGTTAAACAGTACATGTTGAAATCTAAGCTCAGCTCGGCAGTGACCTAAAATACATAAATATAATTTTACTTACCGAAAAAATGAAGTGGAGACTCCTTGGATGCTCTATTAGTGCAATTAATGCCACAGCAAGTCATTTTGTCCAACAATCGCACAAAAAATATCCAAACAAGAATACACAAACACAGAGACTAGAAATCCCGGAACAGTTTCCAGGCCAGACCGAGGCACTACTGAGGCCTTTCCACGGAGCTAGCTCTGTGGTCACGTGGGTCTGATGCTCATTAATTATACAGAATTTTAGGCTTTTGATACACTTAAACAGAAGAGTGAGAAAAAAATTCACCCCCCTCAGAGTTGTCATGAGTGCAAACTAGATCATTTAAACAAAAAACATGTTTTGATACCAGGCTGTAAACATGTTTATTTCTGCTGTGAAATTGGTATTTTTAACATGGGAGTCGATGAGGATTTGCTCGCTTCTGACACCAGCCCCCAGTGGATGAGGGTGGAACTGCAATTTTTGGTACTTCCGAGTTGAGACCAATTTTAGAGTTGCATCGTGGGGGCTTTACTCAAACTCACACACATAAGCACTGCTCTGTAGCAGTTTGGACGCTTTACATTAGTTGTTGTAACAACCATTTCCCTGTGTCAGAAACTGAGCCCCTGTCTGTTTTGTTACAGCTCAACGTTCGGGTCACCACTGTGGACGCTGAGCTGGAGTTCGCCATCCAGCCCAACACCATAGGGAAGCAGCTGTTTGATCAGGTGAAGCACATATATATATACTGTGATGGGCTCCTGTTTTATGTGAAGTGACAAAGGAGCAACAGATTGTGAGAATCAAGCTGCACATTACCTTTGTTACTGATGTTGCAATGAACTGAAACCACTGGGTGTTCTTCCATCTACACTAGGGCTGCAGCTATCGAATATTTTTGTAATCGAGTACTCTTATCGAATATTTTATCGATTAATCGAGTATTCTAATACAGTAAATTACCCTTTTGTGTTTGTAAACTATTATATCAAATAACATGTTATAAAATATGAAAGACTTCTTAAAATGAGCAAGCAATTGCCAGTTATTCAAGTTTTATTCAAAATTGGTTTTCACAACGTCAGCACGTCAACTTTACTTCACAGTAAACAAATGCCTGTGCAAAAAATGAGTATACAACCTGAGCTGATTTTCCCCTCGCGCGAGAATCTACCAGCACCGGAACCGCTCACGGCGCATGCGCAAACATGGCTCGCCAGCTATTTCCCTATTAACACACGTCCATTTTAATTTCTACACTTTTTTTCTCTCACACAATAACAAAGAAAGCATGTTTGCCGCGGTTATGTCAAATTATACCGATCACAAAACATTTATTTACTTCGTTTTCCTCTGCCTCTCATAAATACCTGTCCTCCTGCAGCAACCCCAATGGACAACAGACATCAAAAACAACACAATAAAAAGTCTGACGTGCTGTAAAAACAGCTATTTTTAGCACATTTTTAGGTCCGATGTGTTGCCACCAGATGCACAGTTTGAGCTGAAACAGTGCTACAAATGAAAAAGTCGCACAGTGTCTGCAGAATGTATAGCGGACCTTCGAGTCCGCTTGTAGAAGTGGCATTTACATGTGGATGTTTCCTGGTCCGGTGCTGCAGCATCGAGGATGTGGTGTTGTGGTAGGCTAGATCTGTTTTACAGTATTTACACTGGACTTTGTTTTTCGCCGTACAAAATGAAAAATGGCACCACACCTTTGACATTTTCTGTCTTTTTCGCACTCTTCCGGGGTCCATGTTGTCCGCCATGGCGTAAGAGACAGTTAAGTTACATTCGCTACTCACGTGTGCATTCAGTGCAGTGTGTATGTGCGTCACTTATTTAGGTCCGGGTGAAACATGACCCCGGGCGATTGCAAAGCCATGAATTAATTAAACATGAATTAAACGAAGCCTCGAGGCAGAGAATTTGACTCACGGCTTTTTTGTACTCTAATTATTCAAGGTACTCGAGGAATCGTTTCAGCCCTAATCTAAACATAAACGATGCTTTGATAATGTTCAAAAGTTGTTTTGAAGTTGGCGTCATGGAAGCCCTTCCCCAATTTGTTTTTGAAATAGATCACACAATAAGTTCTTGTCTCATTGTTTTCATTCATACCCTCATCTCTTTTGGTGTTTACGGTTTGTACCACAAGTCTCATCCTCTTCTGTTTAACAGTAGGCAAATCAACTCAAAAAGTGTATATACCGCGACCTACTGGTGATTTCTTAGTGTACATGCTCCGTGCTTTGTTTACCAATTTTATTGCAGCTGCACATCATCACATACATGCCTGGTGTAATCACCACAGATCTTTGGGTCATTTTGGATGCTTTTGTGTAGATTAAAGCTGCTATTGAGAATTTGCAAACAAGCTAGGTATTGAATGTAAACACTGTCATGGAATGCTCTACCCTCCCTTCGGGTATCTGCCCTGGATCCTCGTCCACTGGAAATGAAAACCAACCAGAGAGCACTGAAGACCAGTCGCCGCTTTCTAGGTCCATATGTCTCTTGTTGTTGTGGCTTCAAATGGTGTTTTTCTTTTTGGGATTCTGGTAGTTTGTCCTGAAGTTGAAGTGGTAGCAGCTGGCTGTTTGTCCTTCTCTGATATCATGAGTCATGAACCTCACACCAGTGCTGTTCTTTAGATAAATACATAAGTGCGTAATGAATGGAGGGCCCAGGGAAGTGCGGTGGTTCGGCGAGATCGACAACTAGATGGTCCAGTACCGTAGTTGCTTTTGGTCCGAAACATGTTATGGACAGATGCTTTTAGACAAATGTGAGAACTTCTTTAAAAATCTTCACAATATATTTATAGTTATACTATGCGCTTAACGTTCAAATGTTTCAAGCTAATTAGTTTTCTTTGGCTTTAAGGCATTTCTACAACCTGTTTATGTTTGTTAGAATTAAGATTTCATTTAAACCAAGAACTGAAATTCCCATCTATTATTTTTGAAAATACTTTAAAAGCTTCAAAGCAGTTTTTTCATAAAGGATCAGTGGATACCGCTGTTAGTCACATAATTTCACAGTGAAATGCGTTTGTTTGGGATGCCATATACAGACGAAGCATTAGCACACCCAATGTCATCAATCACTAAACTGGAACGCAACACTTGTCGGGAGATGTTCCTCCCTCATTGTTGACCCTCCAAACAGCCTTTTATTTGGTTGTCAGGCTCTCAGCTTGTGTCTTCTACGGAAAACGTTATCGTAGCTTTGAGTTCTCACCACTTTCTGGTCTGGGTCCCAGACATTTACTTTGACAACCCAACGGATGCGGGCGTGTAAAATCTGAACACCCATCAACAAATTTTCTGTCCTGTTTTAGAAGTGTTGAATGAAACTTGTTTTAGAAAGAAGGCGTAGGAGCTGATTGAATGGTATGAACTGTGTGAAACAATCATTTTAGCCTTGTGGGTTTGCGTGTTAGGTTTGTTACACTTTGTTGCTATTTTACTGTGAAGTAGTTCTTATTTGATTACTTTGATCCAATAACTTGGAAAATCACATTTACATATTCCCAAAAGCTAATTTCATTGTCACTTGATAAGTTGAGTCTCTATTGGGAAGACATTTTCTGATATTGGTTTACAATAATTTGTCATGGTCTTGTTAGAGACTAATGTACATTTTCCTGTCGTGCTTGTTCTAAATGTAGATGGCAGGTCAACAGTATGAGCTTCTCTGGGGCTTCATGCCTGCACTGGAGAAGGAAAGGCATTGTTTTAGTCACTTCCTGTAAAACTCGTTTTTCAATTGTAGCTGTAGCGACTCTGACTGCGGATCCACCCATCATCTCGGCTCCTGAATTATACTTTTGTTAATAAAAGAATAGACCCTGATTTTTCCCTTTCGGCAGCTCTAATTATAGCTGCGGTGGGATTTTTCCTTCCTACTTGTTAGAATAACTGTCTGGGATGTTCCACTGATAATCAGCCTACTCGTGTCATTGTGTCAGACACAGGTCAGCACTCTATTTTTGTACTTTTGAGGCTATTTTTTCTACTTTGAACACAAGTAGCGGCCCACAGAGCTTCACTCTTAGTCTAAAGTCTTCAGTAACCTCTGATCCACTTGGCTGGTGTTTAGCTTGAGCGTCCCTGATGTCTGTCAGCAGATTTGATTTAGTTTTAAGTGGATGCCTTGGCAGCAGTAGGCTGCAGACGTACACTCTTCAACAGGTTGGAAATGCTGAGTAACTGCAGTGAGCTCATTTTTAGGGCGAGTTTCAGGGTTGGTGTGGTCAGCGTCCCTGTCGTGCTGCTCCAAAGACATAATATTTTGCCACTCCTCTACACACCCTCTTGTTTCACTTCCATGTGACTCTGAGCTTATTCTTCCACTGACGGTTATCAGCCCAAACGAGTGTGTTTCATCTGTGTGAAACCAGGGAATCCCCACTCCAGTCATAATCACCAATTTTCCAATTTACCTATGTGCTTAATATATTTTTAAAAACACTTTCACCATCACCTTCTCCATCACTTAATCACTTTGGGTTTTTTAACTCCGAGGATTCAGCAGCTAATTCCATTTCAGCCTGGCCGGCCGCATTCCTTTTTGTCACCACCTAGTCTGTTATGCTCCAGGCTGTCTAGGGGGCCTGGGGTAGCAAGGACGACACATGCCCGGGTGTTTAAAAGTTAACTTAAACAAATTTATTTACACCAAATAACATTAATAAACACAACTGGACTAATCGACGGCAACTAAAATGGTAAAACAAAATAAACCCTACTTTGTAGGGCTGTAGCGAAGCCTCGATGACGTCGACGTCTCGATTCTAAAAAAAAAAAAAAAAAAAAAAAAAAAGTGTCGACGTCAGATCCGGTAGTCGACGCACCACGCCCATTTGTTGCATCCCCAGGTGTTTGTAAATAGTGGTGGAATCTGCCTGTTTTTCCTCTAGTTCTCCGCCTTCACTAACATCTCCACCAAATACCGAAGACCCGGAACAATGTCCGTCCGCTACTAGATTCCTTTCCTGTTTTTCCCGCCTTCGTCTCCCGGCAACGGACAACAACTTCTGGGGTCAGATGTGCTGCTCCGTCTCTATCGCAGATGTAGAAAATCACCGGGAGCGTTTCTCCCTTCATAAAGGAGCTTCTTTCAGACATTAGGAGAGCTGTTTTGGTGGTAGCAGTCTCTCCTCCGTGCTGGTCTGTTTGCTGCTGGGTATTTTGGTTTATTTAAACTTGGTAACTTGAACTTAACGTTGGTAAAGCTACTGTTAGCATCTTCGCTAACAGCTTCTTGTGTTTGGTTAAGCGTTTACGTTTTAGTTTAGAGTTCATCATTTTGTCGTGTAGATCTCCCCTTTTATTACATTTAGAGTGCTGTGGGTTTTCGGTTGAGTTTAAAATATCACCTTGAGTTTGGTTTAACCACCCACTTTAGAGTTTGGACCTTTGGAGATCCTTATTTTGGTCCAGAACCCAGTAATCTTTGCCCAGAGGGACGTCCCTAGTTATTTGTACTTTTGTTTTAATTCCCTACAGGCAGAATTAGTTGTATTATTACCAACCTGTGGATGGAAAGATTTATGTTTTTTTGTTGTTGTAAATAAACCTGATCATCATTTTAACTTTTAAATCCCGTGTTATTGTCCCTTTTTTGCACACGAGCCAAACACCCCAGGAAGGGTCGTAACACCACTCCCCTCACGCACATAAGTGACCAAAACAAAGCAGCATGGAGACACTCCCGTCTC